CTTTTCTCTTTGGCATGAGTTCATGCCTCGCATGTTTAATGTTTATGCACTCTTTTATATGCTAAATTTCCCTCTAAAATGACCTTTAATTTTGGACTGATTTCACACCTCCTTGTGTAATTCTGATTGCACTCGTGTAATTGATTCTTTCCTTGTTTTATTGATTCCCTATTTCTTGGATTGATTTGAAAACTTTCCTTTAGACTTTCGATTCTCTTGTCTTTAACTTGGTTTATTCATGGGAACCCATGTTACTCTCCTTAAGTCAGTGATTTTGTAATCCTTGACTCCTTGATTTGCTATGTACTGGTTTTCGATTGTCTCCACATTCTGCAACTTTACTTTGTTTTCTTACCTTATTTGGTTAACCGAGTATTTCAAAGATTCTTCCCTTAATTAAACCTCTATGCACTTACCCCTAATTGTCTATTCTATACATGGTGTTCTACTTGATTGCTTTCCTTAAATGCCTTCTGCCTATTACCGTTTAATTTTAACTCCTTAATTAAAGGAAGTCTTATACTGATTTGATTTTAATTGACACATAATTCCATAATTACTGCTGAACTATGATTTTTGCCTTATTTTCCACCTGTTTTCAAACTATAAATACCCTGGCTTTTCATTAACACACACACGAACACTCTTAGTTTCTGAACTCACACTCACACTCAAAAAATATTCTTTCTTATTATTTGTACCGTGGCCTTCCTTCAAAGTCCTGTTACCTGCTTTTACTGTATTTTGCTTCTTTGAACTGGTATGCTCTGATTAAGATTCCAGCATCACAACAATGTGTTTACTTAATGCTTTTCCCTTCTTGTCTGCATATTGCTTGTGTTTAGTTCAGTACTTATTCTAGCATGCTATAATTTCCTTATGCCTGTTCTTAATTTATTATGCATCCTAAACCCCCACCCCAATGTGTTCAAGGCTTATGGTTTGTTTGAGGCATGACAGTATTGCATATTACTGCCCATGACTCAAGCTTGATCCCTGGGTCCTAACCTCTATGTTTCTCTGCTATTGTGTGTTCTGGTAGGCTTATAAGCATGCCAGCATCTTCTATTGTTGTGCATGCCCAAAGCTTACCCTTGCCTAAGCATAGGCTCTTTGTAATTTCCCAAACCCCCTGAACCCCCTTTGTATGAAATTATCCACTTGTTTGTGGTTGTTTCCCTCTCCTTTATTCTCTCAGAACTCTGTTTCTTCACTTGCACTCTCTCTTAGACTTAAGTTCTGCCCCCCTCTTGTGAGCCTTGCCTTGGGACCCATTGAGCTCCCTCTGAACTTGGACACTTGAGGGCTGGCCTTTCCACACTGCATTTGCCCCTATTCTGGTGATACAATTTGGGTGTGAGCATTGCCCGGAGTCCCATTGAGGCTCTTAGGGAACTCCGACACACTCAAATTGGAGAAAGGCTTTGGATCGATGGTCTTTGAGTTGGTCTATCTCATAATTCAGACAGGAAGTCAAGAATCAGGCCTTCTATGGTTGTAATTATTTTCTTTGTTTTTTCTGATGTATTTGTTATTCTGGTTTGTAATAATTTGTAGTGAATACTTGGGGTTGGCTAGTGAAACAGGGTTGGGGTAACTATGTAGAAATCATGCCTATAGGATTGTTCTAATTCTGCATATTCAACTTCACCTAGAAATCATGCCTATAGGATTGTTCTAACGTCATTCTGCATAATTCAAACTGCATTTAGATACCATGTTTATAAGGTTTAAAACAATTTCTGCATCTAGAAACCATGTCTATAAGGTTCAAGTTCTGCATTTAGATACCATGTTTATGAGGTTTAAAACAAATTTCTGCATTCAGACACCACGTCTATAAGTGTCTAAAATCAGCAACGTGTAGAAAAACATGCCTATAGTAGTTTCTAAATGAATCTGATTCGCTTCATCCAATGTTAGATACAAGATCAGTAATAATATATACAATCACTTGCAGAACTTGTAATCAATTTGTTTAATTCTGCATCTCTTTTGATAATAAGTCCCTTGCTTTACAATGTTAACAAGCATGAATTTTTATGATTTCAAACAATTCATTTGAGCTTTACTATCTCATCACCTTCTAAAATCAGTAGATATCATGCCTATAAGATTCCGTCTAAACACTTAGGCAAGCCTTAGGATAATGATTGTAAAACTAAATCCGCTTTGTTAATTGCTACAACCAGCAGGCAGGCTTGATTCGGACTTCTTATCTGAGTTATGTAATAAACTAAGCTGCCTCAGCAATTAACTTCCCTCGTCTTTGGTATTTTTAATCAGACCTAAACAGTACGCGCAAGCCATGCTAATTATATGCTTTCTTTGTTTAAGGAGGTATATATGAGCCTTTGTTTGTTTCTATGTGTTTCCCCAAAATATGCAATATGTGTTTTTTTGCATGTCGCCTTAGAATTTTTACCTTTGAAACTCCAGATAAGCCTAATATCCTTCCCTTTTTAGGATTAGTAGTCCTAAGTGCCTCCGGGACTAATAGGAGTGGGACGGATAATAGCATGCAATAAGTAATTGATATCAATCCGCGCTTTAAATACCTTAACGTGGTGGGATGTGTAGATATGGATATGATGACCACGCGATAATGTCACGTGTAGCCCCTCATTGAGGAGTGATTACCGGACATTGTGTGGGGTGATCCATATTATTAATAAACCTAGGACCCTCCCCCTCCCTTTATTCTTTATTTCTTTTCTTTAGCATTTTAACTCTTTATTTAAAATTAGCCTTTCTAATGGTCCTTTCAAACTTTGCATACTTTCAAACCTTTTGTGTGTTGAAATCCCCTCTTATTTGAGCCTTATCTACCTATATGCTAATTGCACCTCAATTCACAATAATTGTCTGGCCGGGAACCACACTAGTGGATTCTGAGGGTGCCTAACACCTTCTCCTTAGAATAATTTCAAGCCCTTACCCTATCTCTGGTTATTCAAATCAAAATATTTTGGTGTCCTAATGCACCCTAATCATTAGGTGGCTTGCTCTAACTGTTTGTTTATATTTCTTTGATGGTTAAAATTCTTAGCTTGATCGATAATGATTAATCCATGATTGCATTTGAAGTAGCCCCAATGGCCATGAGTAAGTTTTAAAATTTGGGTATCGCACATTTTTATGCAACTTTTCGATGATGCCAAAAGGGGGTAAAAGGTTGTGCTTTACACTTTGAACGGTGATGTTTACAACCTAATGAACCTAGTCCTTGACGATAAGTGATTAAAAGGGAAAAATGTTTCTAACATTGTGTTGATGTTGAGCTAAGTTGAAATACCTAAGCTTATGAAAAGCACAGAGTTTGTCATCATCAAAAAGGGGGAATTTATTGGCCCAAGTGAAGGTTAGTTTTGAAGATTGACAAAGGAAGCTCAGGCACGAACCAAGCCCATCCCTTGTATGCATAGGCACGGGCAGATTCGAGCATGTGGGATGCTCGTGAAGGAGATAAACTTAACTTGGCATAATTGATATCTCCTGATCGTAAAGGTTGCATAATTGATAAGGAGAATGACCCCTTGCTCAAAGAGAACATTATCCAAGATAAGGAAGGAGTTAAAAGTTGAGATCAGCTAGAACTCTTCCACCGAGGAAGAGTAGCATTAGAACTCTAGTTATTTCTTCATCTACTAGCTCTATATATTGCAGGATGCTCTCATTTTACAAGTATGCACAAATGCATAAGTTAAACGTGAATTGAGAGCAACATAGCAAGGCATTTGGCAAGCAGTTCATGTGTGATTCAAATGTGCAAACCTGAAGCTACATGAACTAGATAGAAGAACCAGTTCCAAGTGTCTGTCTTTTATTCTAGTTCAATTGTAATAGGTGTTTTCATATTGTACCTTTCAGCTTTATCTAGAGGCAATTGTAATAGGTGCTCAGAGTATTCAAGTTAGAGTTAACTTGAAGTTGTCGCAACAGTTAGAGGCGGTTTGCCACAACGAGATTAGAGTTAATCCTAGGTTTACAAAAGTATTTTTTAAATGCAGCTTTTGGCTCAGTGATTTAGTGGAGAGTTTGGGAAAATCCTACTGGGAAGTAGGTCGTGATTTTTTCACCTTTTGAGCCAGGTATTTTTCACGTAAAATACTTGTGTTCTTTACGTTCCACATTTACTATTTCAGCAATAGTAGGTTAAGGAACACTTAGAAACATCAGGTCCTCACCCCCTCCCCTCCCGTGTGGTATTGAAGTTAAAACATCAAGGTTCAAATCCCAATGAATACATCAATGTCAGGGGTATCTTCTCATCTATTAAATTATTGTGAATATACAGATGGAAAATATTTATACACATGGAAAATAATAAATACTCGAGTGAAATTGCCAAAATATGTATAAGAGCAATTGATCCGGAAACCATATTTAATTCACTGTCATAAAATAAAATAAAAATAAATGAGATGGAGGGGGGTATATATAGGACGAGTACTTATGTCCAACAAACAAATAAACAAATACATAGAATACGTTGACTCAAGGTGAAATTTTGAATTACCTCTGATCTCTTCTTTCCTCGTTTTTAAACAAACCAAACAAGAGAAAAGACATCTTAAAAACTCAATTTTCCTTTCAATTTCTTCTTTAAAAAATCTATGTTTTTTTTTTGTTGAAAAATTATGTTGGATAGCCAAGTTCTTTGAACATACAAAAGATAACAGTACTGCCATGCAAATGAAGATATGTAACTCATACAAGGTTGGTCACCTAAATAAACATTAATTAAAAGATTATAAATTATAGATCAAGAAAAACAAAAACATAAAAAAGACGTTAACTTCAAGCCAAATTATTATTCAACTTTGTCCATCAAAGTAGACCGCCCTTACCAAACAAAACTACTAATTATTATTCTTAAAAACCTATGTACGCATTCGTAGAATCTACTTATTGAACAAATCTTATCTGTACCAATTAATCAAACTTAAAACATCTTCTATATATAACACACATACAAAAACTCATACACCACTCTTTCACATTCACAAACCCTCCTTGATAAAATCTTGACTAGGTCTACTCAGCAGTACTAGTTTGTAGTCTTTATTGTCCTAAAACACGAACTTTATCAATCAACCCGATCTGATCTCTGAAATCCTGTTCTTATATTCTTGTAGTCTTTATTGACCTGAAACACTAACTTTATCAATCAACTCGATCTGACCTCTAAAATCCTGTTCTAATAGTCCTTGTTTGTCGTTCCAGGCGTACTACGTATCAAACTACCAATGGAGATATCATTGAAGACGAATAACTATAAGGTGGAGATATTTCCTATATTTATTCATGAAAAAGGTGGAAAGAACAAACACATGAAGGGTGGCAACCAACTGAAAATTAGGGCAAATATACAGACGAAGAAATCCAATAGTAATTTCTATGAAGTGCTTTCTCTGCGTTCAACAAATGTAGGGTTTGAAGAGATAAAGAAAGCTTATAGATGCATGGCTCTTCAATACCATCCTGATATTTGTCATCATTCAAATAAAGAAGAATCCACAAGACGATTTATTGAGCTGAGAAAAGCATATGAAACTCTTTCTGATCCAATTTCACGTCAAATTTATGATTCTGAGATGAGTTTAATGGATTCTTTTGAAAGTGAATTGATGTGGAGAAAATCTAAGGAAAATAGGAAGATAGTTTTCACTAAGGAGGTGTGGGAAAGACAGCTTGACGGGTTGAGAAGACGATCTTGTAATAGAATGGAGAAAAAGAAAAGTATTTTCAGCTAGAAACTTAGTTGTTAATTTGTAGTACTATCTTCGTTTAATTTATGCTTGTGGTCAAGATATGATTGTTATTTGTTAGCTCATTATTCTTTTTTTAATTGCAAGGTCACTAGCTTGCACTACATGTTATAATGTAAGGCCCTAAGTTTTATGCATTGAGAAGATGGACTATAAAGTACGTAAACTTTTAAGTTTTATGTACTAATGGCAAAAAATATATTTATCCAATCGAGTTACTTAAAAAAAGTATATTAAACCATGTTTGATCGATAATTTAGAATAAATGATAAGTAACATGTTATAACATGTTAAGTTACATCGATGGTTATTAAAAATATCATTAGACTATAAGTGTATTTAACTCAAATATATTCCTAAAAAATTTCTATATAATCAAGCCACGTATAAGATAATTGCAGATAAATTTTTATGGTAAGTGTTAATTCTTGTAACATGTTAAAAATACATCGTACCGAAATACATTTATATTTGTCATCATTCATCTTTTTTTTATGTTTTTTGTTTCAAGCTACACATGGGTAGAAGGACTTGATTGGTTCCAAATTGTGAATTTCATGTTGAATTAACCTTGCTATCCTCTTTTTTTTTTATTTTTTTTTTTTTTATTTTTTTTTATGTACAATAAACTTCATGTTTTGTGAGAAACATGTTAAGTTTAACTTCCAATATATATTGTATGGTACTTTTAGTACTAAGGGTTTATTGTCTAATAATTGGACAGTAGATTGAATGTGCTCTTATTATTTCACATCTTGACGTTCAACTTAGTAAACCAATTCGATTAGGGCAACCAAACCTCTCTCTAGTTCAGTTTCTTGCAGTTATATAAATGAACCAAAAGTTCACAGTCAAACAAGGGGACACTAATTAATGATTTAAGGCAAAATGCAAAATTGGCTGGTCAGTCAAATTTAATTGTATTCGCTAGCCAAAGTGTATAAAATATGTATATAATATGTATATATGTATGTGATACACATATATAAAAAAAAAATACATTTTGTCGGCTATTATTTTTGGGAGTGGCAAAAAATATACATTTCTCATCAGCAAAAATTAGCCCATTTCTAAGTCCAGCCCATTGAATCTTGATAGGAATTTAGCATAGTTATATTCCAAGCCAGTTGATAGTTAAATTGTTTCCTAGTGAATTAAAAAACAAAAAGAAAGAAAATGGTTTTGATAATGATACATATAGTTATTGATATCATCTCCAATAATTACTTTATAAAGAAGAACAGGCTCTTGTAAGAAGTTACCACTGAGCAAAGATGTGTTTTGATTTGAGACATACTCTGAAGAAAGCAAAGATCATAACAAAGAAAGGAAATCATGAAAAAGAAGAAGATTCCAAAGGCTTATTGGCTAAGGAGATTGAGATATGGGAGAAGCAACAAAAGGATATGATAAATGAAGGAGCTGATCATGATAATCTGCAGCCCTTGGATTCATCATCTGCCAAGAACCAATAATTTTTTTATTGAATTCCTTTTGGTACTTCTCTTTGTTGATAGTATTTGATACAAAAGTAAGAAGCCTATTTGTGTATATTAATTATGTCCTAATTCCTCTCTGTTGTTGCCTTATTACCATGAGAGTGCTACCTATTTAGAGCTGTAACAAAAGTTAATTACATGATGTATGCTTCTATATATGCTATTATCATACACAGATCCAAGATTCAAACTTAATATATTCAATTTTGGCCAAATACATAGACAACCCATTAAACTTGGCCCAATTTTTCATTTTAGCGCTTTAGACTCAGCTTTGTTCCATTTTGGCCCTCCAACCCCATTTCTTTTGTTCCACTTTGACACAAAAGCTGACTAGATTCCATATGTGATTTGCCTCACCCTTGTAGGCGCGTGAGAGCCATTTTTTAAGCCAAATTTCATACTGCCAATGTAGAGGCGGATACGGAATTTAACTCCTATGGATTCAATTTTAATGTTTTTAACATTGAACCCATTATATTTTTAAAGTTATGGGTTTATATCTACTTTTTTACAATTTTAATGAATTTTTACATACAAATTTTTACTCCGTGTTGAAAGTTATGAATTCAGTTGAACCCGTAGTTATTACTGAAAATATATATATAAAAATATTTTTTCCACGGGAGGGGGGTAGAAAAAACGAAAATAATAATAATTTGAAATTACAAAAAGAAAAAATTGCGGGGGGTAGGGCCAATGGAGTGGGGGTGGGGTAGCAGCTGAGTATTTGTCCGCGGTGCATTTTTACCTGGGATAAAAGTTTTTGTGTCAAAGTGGAACAAAAGAACCCATTATATTTTTTAATGTTATGGGTTTATATATATTTTTTTACAATTTTAATGAATTCTTACATACAAATTTTTACTCCACGTCGAAAGTTATGGGTTCAGTTGAACCCGTAGTTATTACTGAAAATATATAAAAAATAATAATTTTTCCCCCCGGATGTGGGAAAAAAAAACGAAAAAAATAATAATTTGAAATTACAAAAAAAAAATTAAAAAAAGATTAGCGGGGTGGGGGAGGGGGCAGTGGGGTGGCGGTGGGGGTAGCAGCTGGGTATTTGCACGCGCTGCATTTTTACCTGGGAGAAAAAAAATTGTGTCAAAGTGGAACGGCCAAAATGGAACAAAACTGAGTTAAAGTGCCAAAATGAAAAATTGGGCCAAAGTAGATGTTTTGTATGCCAAACTGCCCTTTTTCTTTTTATAGTTTCATAGCCGAATTATTGATTGAGCGCGTAGCAACAAGTAACACAGTTAAGCTTGTTCTTGTTCTCTCTCTACTTTAAGTCCACTGGTCACCAAAAATACTTTTAAAGTCACAAAGTTGTAAAGAAAAATGGCCTCTTTGCATTTAGTAGTACAACTTACTAGGCAAAAATGTGTTTTGGTTTGAAATATGATCTCAAGAAGGCAAAGATCATAACAATGAAGTGAAGAGGAGGAGGAGGAGGAGAGTTCAAAGGCTCGTTGACTAAGGAGATTGAGAATGGGAGAGGCAAAAAAAAAAGATGATCATCAGCAAACTTCTGGTTCATTTTTCTATAAAGAAACAATATTGATACTGGCCATTGATTTCATATTAGCACTGATCTTTGTTGAAGAGTGTTTGATGCAAAAGTAAGAACCCTATATATGGATATCAATTGTGTTTTATTTTCCTCTCTTTTGCTGGCTTATAACTAAGAGATTACTCTGTAATTTTCCTATCCAGAGCTATAACAAAAGTTACATGCATTATGCTATAGTGCTAAGCGCTAACAATCTAATAACAACAAACCCAGTGTAATCCCACAAGTGGGGTCTGGGAAGTGCTAACAATCTACAAGAGGGTTATTGCTTTTCCGAATAAATTTATTCCAGAAAATAGTAAGCTACCTAACAAGATCGAAATCAATTAGTAGTACAAGTTGGCTTTGGGACAACAGGTTGCTCTTGACCAAGAACTACTACCTTTTGAGAGCGAGACGGGCTCTATTGAAATCATGACTTTACTAGAGAAGGATTCACTAATGCATGCGTCTCTTGCTCATGACTACAGGTTGCTAATGCAGAAGTTGGGCAGCCCAATACTCGGCATAAGTACCGCGAAGGTAACATGGTGGCTCACATTTTGGCGCAGGAAGGGTCCCAAGCAACTAGAAATAATGGCAGACCAGTGTTCTTAGTAGCTCCACCTATGACAGTATCGACTGCACTTTCCAATGATAGTTTAGGAGCCTCTTCTGTCAAGGATATTTCGGATAGTATTTGTAATAGCTTAGTTTGCTTTGGGAACCTTTGTGTCTTACCTGACACTAAGTAACATTAACTTCAGTTCTGTAATGAATGGTTAATTTATATCAATATAATGCTACTTTATGATCCAAAAAAAAAAAAGGAACCGATTAGCAGAACATAAGATAAACGATTATCAGCTGATAAAATGAAAGGATCGCCACCCAAAGGATACACATTATTTAGGAGGCCTGGAATTCAAAACGTTGAATCAAGCAGAATTCAGATCGTTTTTCGCCACCAAGTACAAAATCCAACCAAACTGCAACATATCTTTTCCTACAAATTAGCAAGAAGTTGTTTTCAGATGATCCTAGAAGACTATGGTCTGATCCCCTTACAGAACTACTCTTAATAGCATGTAGAAATCCTTTGCTTCAATGCAACTTGCAGATCACAACAACATTCCATCCTGGTGTTGGTCTGGATATTCGTGGCTGGTCTGGATAGATTAATTAAACTTAATCTCATAGAGCATCTTGGTGTCAATTCCTCATGAACCAATTCAAATTAGTATAACGTCTTCCTTCTTTAAGTGTCCAACTTTTATCACTTAACACGTTCCTAATGACATTAAAGAGCAGCCTGGTGTCCAGGGGAAGGGCCGGGGCCGCACCCCAAGGGATGATGTAGACAGCCTACCCTAATGCAAGCATTAGTGGCTGCTTCCACAGCTCGAACCCGTGAGCGACTTTTGGCTCACCGACTATACCAAATAAAAGCAACGGCAAACTAGTACTTTAGGCTCTTTCTAAGAGCAGAAAAGTTTACTTCACAAAATACTCCGGGACATTAAATGGGTTCCATATTGGAGCCAACAAATACCCTATGCAGATATTAGCAGAGAACAAACCTAACATTCAGTTTTAGAAATTACAGAAGCATAACACTCTGGTTCAGATGGTCCTCCAAAAACAAGGTATATCAAGAATTTGATGTCTCATTTACAATATACTGCTTCCACGCATTATTAATTTTAGTGATGAATCTTGATAACATTCTAGATTAATGGGGATGAATGATCATCTGGCTAATGCTAGAACATCATGAGCAGAAACCAGCTTTCTGAACATATCAACATCTTCCGTAGTCAAAAAATTGTGACTGAGAATAACTTCATTATTTCTTCATTTTTGGACAGAATACAAGTAGTTAACTCTTTCTAACACCAAGGCAAGTGTTTATCAATTCTAAGACAACAAAAAATGCATCAGAAAATACAATCACAAAATTAGAAACAGGAAATGAGATTACCCAAAACGTAATCCAAATTCTCATTTTCAATTACATCTACAAAGAACAATCAATACCTCATGTTCGAGTACAAGTCGAGTCAAAATCATCAGGAGCAACTCTAGCAATCCAATTGTTAAGCGTCCTCTTAATATCCGAATGATTAACATAAGCCAATTCATACATACTACACAAATTCACCACAAGAGTCTCGTTCAACGCCACAGTCGGAACCCTCTCCAAAGCATTTTCCAACACCTTAATAGCATCGGATAAATCCCTAGAATACATCAAACACAAAGCCTTATTATTCATAGCCACCATATCCATTCCGTCCCTCTCAATACACTCTTCATACTCCCTAACTGCAGACACATAATCTTTCTCCACTATATACATTAGTGCCTTATTCCTACTCACCAAATTCCTCAACCCCACTTCACTTTCACTCCCTACCATCCCCTCCACCGAATTAAACGCCTTTTTCGCGCCCTCCACATCACCATACTGCATTTTTACATACCCTAATTTCGACAACACGTTCGGATCATCATTCCCACATAACTCAATCAACATATTCAACAATTCCAAGCACAATTTAAAATCTTTTTGACTCAAATGGTGACTAATTATCGTGTTCAACACCAAAACTTCCCTCCTTTTCCAAGATTCCTTACTGGGGTTGGTTAAAGTGTCAATCTTTCTCGATCTAATATAATCAAGGAGAGTGTAAAGCCGGTCGAGTGACTTCACGCGCTGGCCAAGTGCCTGGGGGAGATAAGCGTGGAGCCAACGGAGGGCAAAAGGGACGAAATTGCCCTTCATGTTGGGGTAGTGAGAAGGGTAATTATGGTAATGGAATTGTGGGGAGTTGAAATCTTCTTGGCCATTTTCGAGGAGGGTTTCGAGCTCTTGATTAGCATCAACGGGGCGGCGGAGCTTGGTGAGAGCTAAGGCGTTGAAGGTGAGGTATGTGAGGTGCTCGTGGGGTTTAGTGAGGAGGTTCAGGGACCGCGCGTGGCCGACTTTATCGAGGATTGATTTCCACGCGCCACGAGTTGCTAGGTCTTGGAGATCGGAGAGGTCGTGGCAGAGGGCGTTTAGGGAGGTGTACGGATTGTTTAGTGGATCGTCGACGACGGTGGTGGTGGTGGTGGGTTGTGGTGGATTTGGGTCGGGTGAACCGGCGGTGTCCATGGCGGAGAGGAGTTGTATACGGCGGAGGAGCGGAGGAGATTGCGGAGTATTGGATCGAGGAGCTACCTTGATCTGGATGTTTTAGGTGTTAATGGTGTATTTTTTTAGGGAAATTACTAGCTATGTCCATTTATAAGTAGTTCACTATAAAAATTGGTCAATTGATAAATATTATTAATATTAGCCAAATTAGTCAATTAGCTATTTGTAGCAAAAAATATCAAATTGTTGCTTTGTTTTGAGTGGGTGTTATTAGAATAGATTGGGCACAACTTAAGGAGCTTGAATCTCAGTTTTGGGATGATTTGGTGAAGTTTTGAGGTGGTTTGAATTGAAAATTCGAAATAAAAGCTGAACATAAAAAAAAATGATATGTGTATCACACTGTGTATCATTTGTGTATCAATTGTGTATCACATGTATATCCATGTATACCTGTGTGTGAGATACATGCGTGATTCATGTTTGATACATGTGTCGCAGAAGACTTTTTTTGAACTCGATTTAATTACGAATTTTGATGCAAAATTAGTCCAAATCACCTCCAATCTTTCTCAAATTTTGTATATTGACTTATTTATATATTTTCAATGAATTTCAACTATACCCATTGAAAAAGTTCCTTTTTGTTTAGATTTTTGAAATATTGTATAGATTTTTGTATTTCATCACCTTATTTGCTACTCCGTCCATGAAATTTCCTTTCCGTCTTGTATCTAATGTTGCTAATCACGCTTAAAAATATGGAAGGTGATTTTTGCATGTGATTCTTTGAGAGAAAGAACCCTATTATTTGGTTTTTCAATTTTTGTTGGCTAGTTTTGGTAAGTCTATGACTAATGGCTAGAGGTTGGTAAGTTGAGATTTATTTGGGACATTTATGTAAGTTTCCCTATTTTTGAAAGTTCGGGTCGGGCTCTCGAGTGGGTTCGATTTGAGAGGGATCTGGTCAATTTATTTTTTTTTATTTTTTTGTCATCAGGGATCTGGTCAATTGAATTTAGGAAATTTCAACTCAATTATTTTTTGAGGTATTTATTTAATTTTATTTTTTTGTAACTAACTAATCCCTCTGGTCTACAATAAGTGGCTATTTTACCTTTGGCACACAACAATAACAACAACAACAACTCAGTATATTCCCAATAGACTCATAATAAATAACATAAAATAGACAACATAACCTGAAATAACATAAAATAACAAATAACAACAATATAAGGAATATAGGAAATACGAGAAAGAGGAAAGTATACTAATATCGGAAATACGAATTCCTAGAGAAAAAAAATGTATACACTAAATTAATCTTAATTAATTATTACCTTGAGAAATTGGAATATATAAATGTCACGACCCCAGTTCACCCTCCATGAACGTGTCGTGATGGCACCTAGTTCCTACAACTAGGTAAGCCTAACAGTGCGAAAATTTATATGACTTACGGAAATATTTAATTAAACTTAGCAAAACTAGAAGAAAATGGTATATAAGTGCCACTTGGCATATACAACTCAAAAATAAAACGCGGAAGTCTACAATTTCATCCCAAAACCCGAAAACTCACGGGAACCACTGGTTAATAGAAATGTAATATGCTGCTCTAACTCCAGAATATCTAAACAACTGAAGAAAAGATAGAATACTACTAAAGCTGGAACAGAATAGAGACTCCTGGTCTGCGGACGTGGCAAATATACCTCGAAGTCTCCACTAGATCTCTCCGCCTCGAGGATAGTACGCCTGAGTGGAGGTACCTGGATCTGCACATGAAAAACATGCGCAGAAAGGGCATGAGTACACCACAGCGATACTCAGTAAGTGCCAAGCCTAACCTCGGTTGGGTAGTGACGAAGAAGGTCAGGGCCCTACTGAGATAAAATATAATAATAAATTAACAGTATGAAAAATTGACAGTAATAATGAGTACAGCAGTGAGATAAGACAGGTTAAACAAGGCAATAACAATTACACAAGGAACGGAGTAAATACAAAATATGTACAGCTCAATACCAATGGTAACGATGAGGATCTCCCAGGATACCGTCTTGTAGTCCCTTTCTCAACTGTCCAGTGGATCTCCCGGGATACCGTCCCGTAGTCCATCATATGTATATATCCGAAGAATCTCCCGGGATACCGTCCCATAGTCCAACTATCAATGTGCAGGGGGGATCTATCGGGAATCTAACCCGCAGTGCCAAAGTAAATATGCAGGGGGATCTATCGGGAATCGAACCCGCAGTCCCAAAGTAAATATGCAGGGGGATCTATCGGGAATCGAACCCGCAGTCCCAAAGTAAACAAACAAGGGGGGAGCTACCCGAATCCCACATCCGTAGTCCCAATGTAAATATGCAGCCACAACAAGAAGATATTCAGAACTAGAGTACAAGAAAATACAAGGCAACAAGTAGTTCTAGCCTAACATGCTTCACGTAGTACAATCAAGGCAACTTAAGCAAATAGGCAATTTAGGTCAGCTAAGTATGCTTTTCTAAACTAACACAGGCTATAATTGCAAGTAGAATAAAGCAGGTAAGAAAGAAACTCAGTCTAAATATTTAAAGTAAAACCGGATTCTTCAACAATTAGCTCAAGTACGCGCTCGTCACCTTACGTACAAGGCATTCAATTACCAATATCATATCCTAAGGGGATAGGTCCCCCACACAAGGTTAGACAAGCCACTTGCCTTGAACCGGCTCAAAATCAACTAGAAACCACGCCTTTGCCACGAGTATTCGACTCCAAATGGCCCAAATCTATTCAATTCAATTACACATTGTAAATAACATCGCAAGCAACTGATTCTACTAATTAATTCAACGCTAAGGCGCGAAATTAGGTAAAATGACCAAAATGCCCTTCAGGCCAACGTCTCGGAATCGAATAATTTTCACATTTTCAGAACCCTCGTACTCTCACGAGTCTAACCATACAAAAATCTCCCAAATCGGAGGTCAAACACCCACTCAAAATCCAATAGTTTGGTCTATGAAGTTTTTACCAATTTTCATTCAAAAATCCGAAATTAAGGATGAATTCATGATTAGATTAGTGGGTTTTAAGCATAAGAGAGTAGAAAATCGTTACCCAGTGATTACCTTCAAAAAACCTTCGAAATTTCCCCCAAATCCGAGCTATCAAACTTGTATTTTGATAAAAATGGCAAAACCCTCGTTTTTGAATGTTAAGTACTGTTCAGGTCCGTCAAGCATCGCGAACGCGGAAGGGAGCTCGCGTTCGCAAAGAAGGAAAAATAAAGGGACCAAAAATGCCCTTCGCGATCGCGAAGGAAGGGACGCGAACGCGAAGGCCTGGGTTCAGTGAACTACGCGAACGCGAGTGGGGTCATGCGAACGCGTTGAATAAAATCAAGCCCAGCCCTCGGAGTCCAATAAAGCTATGCGAACGCGACAGCCTTGACGCGAACGCGGTTAAGGAATATGTGAAGCTTCACGAACGCGGAGCACTAATCGCGAACGCAATGAAGAAAACTTGTCCTCCTCCAGAATTACTCTACGCGAACGCATGGAGGAGGACGCGAACGCGAAGAGGAAGGAGACCAAAGCTACGCGAACGTGAGGAGGGTACCGCGAACGCGAAGAAGGATTTGGGACCTGCACAGCTGAAGGATTTTCTGCAACATTTTCAAACTCCAAAATGCTCCGTTGAGCATCCGTAACACACTCGAGGCCCCCGGGACCTCAACCAAACCTACGGACATATCCCATATCATCATTCAAACTTGTACCAATCCTTAAACCACCTAAAATAACGCTGGAAACTCGAATTAATTAATGATTTGAGCCTAAGAACTTCAAATTCCATCAAAACACGCTTTCGATCAAAAACCTAACTAAAACACGTCCGAATGACCTGAAATTTTGCACACACGTCCCAAATGACATGACGGAGCTACTGCAACTTCCGGAATTCCAATCCGACTCTCGGATCAAAAACTCACTATCGGACCGGAGACTTCAAAAATTCAAACTTCGGCATTTCGAGCCTAAATGAGCTACGGACTTCCAAAATACATTCCGAACACGCTCCCAACCCCGAAATCATCTAACGGAGCTAACGGAACCATCGGATTTCCATTCCGAGGTCGTCTTCGTACCGTTCTAACTACGGACCACTTTTCAACACTTAAGCTCTCATTTAGGGACTAAGTGTCCCAAAACTCTCCGAAACCCAACACCGAACATCCCGGCAAACCAAAATAGCAGAAATGAACTTATGGAAAGAAGTTAATAGGGGATCGGGGCGTTAATTCTTAAGACGACCGGCCGGGTCGTCACATCCTCCTACACTTATCAATCACACATGCACGGAGCATATCCTCAAGAATCTGAATAGTGCGCTCGGACTGTCTGTCTATCTAGGGGTGAAATGTTGTGCTCAACTCCAACCGAGTACCTAACTCATGCTGCACGACTCTCCAGAACCGCGATGTAAACTGAGTACCTCTGTCCGAAATAATAGAAACTGGAATACCATGCAGACAGATGATCTCCCAGATATAAATCTCCGCCAACCGCTCCGATGAATAAGTGGTACACAGAGGAATGAAATGAGCGGACTTGGTCAGTCGATCCACAATGACCCAAATGGCATCAAACTTCTTCAAGGTCCGTGGGAGTTTAGATACAAAGTCCATGGTGATGCGCTCCCATTTCCACTCCGGAATCTCTATCTGCTGAAGCAACCCACCCGGGCGCTGGTGCTCACACTTCACCTGCTGGCAGTTGAGGCATCTAGACACATAACCGACTATATCTTTCTTCATCCGCCTCCACCAATAGTGCTGCCTCAAGTCCTGATACATCTTCACGGCACCTGGATGGATGGAATACCACGAACTATGGGCCTCTGCTAAAATCAACTCTCGAAGACCATAAACATTGGGCACACAAATCTGGCCCTGCATCCTCAATACCCTGTCATCTCTGACGGTCACATCTCTGGCATCTCCACGCTGAACCTTGTCCTTAAGGACAAGCAAATGAGGGTCTTTATACTGTTGCTCCCTGATACGATCAAATAAGGAAGACCGGGACCACACCAGCTAGAACCCAACTGGGCTCTAAAAGATCCAATCTCA